TCTTCATTTGCCTCCAGTCATTCAAGAGAGGCAGACCGCTCTGTATTAGGGACAGAGTTAGGGCCACAGAAACGTTACTTGGGACAGAGAAACGTTACTTAGGGACAGAGAAACGTTACTTAGGGACAGAGAAACATTACTCAGGGACACAGAATTGTTAGTGAGGGCCACAGAATCGTTATTTAGGGCCACAGAAACGCTAGTTAGGCCACAGAATTGTTACTCAGGGACAGACAGAATTGTTACTGAGGGCCACATAATTGTTACTTAGGGCCACAGAAACGTTACTCAGGGCCACAGAATTGTTACTGAGGCCACAGAACTGTTACTTAGGGCCACAGAAACGTTAGTTAGGGCCACAGAATTGTTTACTCAGGGACAGACACAGAATTGTTACTGAGGGCCACAGAAATTGTTTACTTAGGGCCACAGAAACGTTACTCAGGGACACAGAATTGTTACTGAGGGCCACAGAACTGTTACTTAGGGCGACAGAAACGTTAGTTAGGGCCACAGAATTGTTACTCAGGGACAGACACAGAATTGTTACTGAGGGACACAGAATTGTTACTGAGGGCCACAGAACTGTTACTTAGGGCCACAGAATTGTTACTCAGGGACACAGAATTGTTACTGAGGGCCACAGAATTGTTACTTAGGGCCACAGAAACGTTTACTCAGGGCCACAGAATTGTTACTGAGGGCCACAGAACTGTTACTTAGGGCCACAGAAACGTTAGTTAGGGCCACAGAATTGTTACTCAGGGACAGACACAGAATTGTTACTGAGGGCCACAGAATTGTTACTTAGGGCCACAGAAACGTTACTCAGGGACACAGAATTGTTACTGAGGGCCACAGAACTGTTACTTAGGGCGACAGAAACGTTAGTTAGGGCCACAGAATTGTTACTCAGGGGACAGACACAGAATTGTTACTGAGGGACACAGAATTGTTACTGAGGGCCACAGAACCGTTACTTAGAGCCACAGAATTGTTACTCAGGGACAGACACAGAATTGTTACTCAGGGACACAGAATTGTTACTGAGGGCCACAGAAAACCGTTACTTAGGGCCACAGAATTGTTACTCAGGGACACAGAATTGTTACTGAGGGCCACAGAACCATTACTTAGGGCCACAGAATTGTTACTCAGGACAGACACAGAATTGTTACTCAGGGACACAGAATTGTTACTTAGGGCCACAGAAACGTTACTCAGGGACACAGAATTGTTACTGAGGGCCACAGAACCGCTACTTAGGGCCACAGAATTGTTACTCAGGGACAGACACAGAATTGTTACTGAGGGCCACAGATTTGTTACTTAGGGCCACAGAAACGTTACTCAGGGACACAGAATTGTTACTGAGGGCCACAGAACTGTTACTTAGGGCCACAGAATTGTTACTCAGGGACAGACACAGAATTGTTACTGAGGGACACAGAATTGTTACTGAGGGCCACAGAACCGTTACTTAAGGCCACAGAATGTTACTCAGGGACAGACACAGAATTGTTACTCAGGGACACAGAATTGTTACTGAGGGCCACAGAACCGTTACTTAGGGCCAGAGAAACGTTACTCAGGGACACAGAATTGTTACTGAGGGCCACAGAACGTTACTTAGGGCCACAGAATTGTTACTCAGGGACACAGAATTGTTACTGAGGGCCACAGAACCGTTACTTAGGGCCACAGAATTGTTACTCAGGGACAGACACATAATTGTTACTCAGGGACACAGAATTGTTACTGAGGCCACAGAACCGTTACTTAGGGCCACAGAATTGTTTACTCAGGGACACAGAATTGTTACTGAGGGCCACAGAAACGTTACTTAGGGCCACAGAATTGTTACTCAGGGACAGACACAGAATTGTTACTCAGGGACACAGAATTGTTACTGAGGGCCACAGAACCGTTACTTAGGGCCACAGAAACGTTACTCAGGGACACAGAATTGTTACTGAGGGCCACAGAACCGTTACTTAGGGCCACAGAATTGTTACTCCAGGGACAGACACAGAATTATTACTCAGGGACACAGAATTGTTACTGAGGGCCACAGAACCGTTACTTAGGGCCACAGAAACGTTACTCAGGGACACAGAATTGTTACTGAGGGCCACAGAACCGTTACTTAGGGCCACAGAATTGTTACTCAGGGACAGACACAGAATTGTTACTCAGGGACACAGAATTGTTACTGAGGGCCACAGAACCGTTACTTAGGGCCACAGAAACGTTACTCATGGACACAGAATTGTTACTGAGGGCCACAGAACCGTTACTTAGGGCCACAGAATTGTTACTCAGGGACAGACACAGAATTCTTACTCAGGGACAGACACAGAATTGTTACTCAGGGACACAGAATTGTTACTGAGGGGACACAGAATTGTTTACTGAGGGACACAGAATTGTTACTCAGGGACACAGAATTGTTACTGAGGGACACAGAATTGTTATTGAGGGACACAGAATTTTACTGAGGGACACAGAATTGTTACTGAGGGACACAGAATTGTTACTCAGGGACAGACACAGAATTGTTACTCAGGGACAGACAGAATTGTTACTGAGGGCCACAGAACTGTTACTTAGGGCCACAGAAACGTTACTCAGGGACACAAATTGTTACTCAGGGACAGACACAGAATTGTTACTCAGGGACAGACACAGAATTTTTACTGAGGGACACAGAATTGTTACTGAGGGACACAGAATTGTTACTGAGGGACACAGAATTGTTACTGAGGGACACAGAATTGTTACTGAGGGCCACAGAACTGTTACTTAGGGCCACAGAAACGTTACTCAGGGACACAGTAAATTGTTACTCAGGGACACAGAATCGTTTAATTAAAGAGTATGTCAGACAACATGCAGAGGAGTGGCAGAGGAGGCAATGTTTTAGGAGCGAGCAGACGTGGCAGCAGAGGAATCGGTCGAGGCAGCACTATTCGCAGCCAGAGGCTGTGCTCCCGGTGTCATCCAGTACAGTGAGGAAGAGCTAACAGAGGGCGGTCAGGAAACGGGGGGAGACATCCGCCTCTTCAGCAGCCAGGCGAAGAAGTAGTGGCGAGGAGAGTGGCTCGGTAGCCGGTCTAGAGACAGGTCTGTCTCCTGACCCACACGCAGCCGAGGGGGCTAGTAGTGAGCGGAGACCCTAAATTGATGATGATGAGGCTGATCGCACTTGGCAGCCTCGTCGTCATCAGGCTATTGCTTCCGCATCATCAGCAGAAGAGGGTGCTGCAGCTTGGCAGCGAGCAAAAACAGTCGGTGGGTTGTCTCCATCGCCACACTCTGCCATGTGCCACTTTCAGGTCTCCTCACACACTGCTGGTGTGTTGAATTTTTTGTCATAGGGTGCTAGGCAGATTACGGGCCTCCCATAGCTGCTGCCAGCCCCTAATCTGCCATGGGCCCCATATACCGCCTCCTCATGCTGCTGCCAAGTCCAGAGTCCACTCATGGGTCCCTGTACGGCCTCCCATTGCTGCTGTCTCCATCGCCACACTCTGCCATGTGCCACTTTCAGGTCTCCTCACACACTGCTGGTGTGTTGAATTTTTTGACATAGGGTGCTGGCAGATTACGGGCCTCCCATAGCTGCTGCCAGGCCCCTAATCTGCCATGGGCCCCTATACCGCCTCCTCATGCTGCTGCCAAGTCCAGAGCCTCTCATGGGTCCCCCCTGTACGGCCTCCCATTGCTGCTGTCTTCTCCATCGCCACACTCTGCCATGTGCCACTTTCAGGTCTCCTCACACTGCTGGTGTGTTCCATTTTTTTGTCATAGGGTGCTGGCAGATTACGGGCCTCCCATAGCTGCTGCCAGGCCCCTAATCTGCCATGGGCCCCCTATACCGCCTCCTCATGCTGCTGCCAGGTCCACAGTGTCTCATGCCATGTGCCACTTTCAGGTCTCCTCACACTGCTGGTGTGTTGAATTTTTTGACATAGGGTGCTGGCAGATTACGGGCCTCCCATAGCTGCTGCCAGGCCCCTAATCTGCCATGGGCCCCTATACCGCCTCCTCATGCTGCTGCCAAGTCCAGAGTCTCTCATTGGGTCCCTGTAACGGCCTCCCATTGCTGCTGTCTCCATCGCCACACTCTGCCATGTGCCACTTTCAGGTCTCCTCACACTGCTGGTGTGTTCCATTTTTTTGTCATAGGGTGCTGGCAGATTACGGGCCTCCCATAGCTGCTGCCAGGCCCCTAATCTGCCATGGGCCCCTATACCGCCTCCTCCTCATGCTGCTGCCAGGTCCACAGTGTCTCATGCCATGTGCCACTTTCAGGTCTCCTCACGCTGCTGGTGTGGTTGAATTTTTTGACATAGGGTGCTGGCAGATTACGGGCCTCCCATAGCTGCTGCCAGGCCCCTAATCTGCCATGGGCCCCTATACCGCCCTCCTCATGCTGCTGCCAAGTCCAGAGTCTCTCATGGGTCCCTGTAACGGCCTCCCATTGCTGCTGTCTCCATCGCCACACTCTGTCATGTGCCACTTCAGGTCTCCTCACACTGCTGGGTGTTCCATTTTTTGTCATAGGGTGCTGGCAGATTACGGGCCTCCCATAGCTGCTGCCAGGCCCCTAATATGCCATGGGCCCCTATACCGCCTCCTCATGCTGCTGCCAGGTCCACAGTGTCTCATGCCATGTGCCACTTTCAGGCTCTCCTCACACTGCTGGTGTGTGTTGAATTTTTTGACATAGGGTGCTGGCAGATAACGGGCCTCCCATAGCTGCTGCCAGGCCCCTAATCTGCCATGGGCCCCTATATTACCGCCTCCTCATGCTGCTGCCAAGTCCAGAGTCTGTCATGGGTCCCTGTACGGCCTCCCATTGCTGCTGTCTCCATCGCCACACTCTGCCATGTGCCACTTTCAGGTCTCCTCACACTGCTGGTGTGTTCCAATTTTTTTGTCATTGGGTGCTGGCAGATTACGGGCCTCCATAGCTGCTGCCAGGCCCCTAATCTGCCATGGGCCCCTATACCGCCTCCTCATGCTGCTGCCAGGTCCACAGTGTCTCATGCCATGTGCCATTTCAGGTCTCCTCACACTGCTGGTGTGTTCAATTTTTTGACATAGGGTGCTGGCAGATTACGGGCCTCCCATAGCTGCTGCCAGGCCCCTAATCTGCCATGGGCCCTATACCCGCCTCCTCAATGCTGCTGCCAAGTCCAGAGTCTCTCATGGGTCCCCTGTACGGCCTCCCATTGCTGCTGTCTCCATCGCCACACTCTGCCATGTGCCACTTTCAGGTCTCCTCACACTGCTGGTGTGTTCAATTTTTTGACATAGGGTCCTGGCAGATTACGGGGCCTCCCATAGCTGCTGCCAGGCCCCTAATCTGCCATGGGCCCCTATATACCGCCTCCTCATGCTGCTGCCAGGTCCAGAGTCTCTCATGGGTCCCTGTACGGCCTCCCATTGCTGCTGTCTCCATCGCCACACTCTGCCATGTACCAACTTTCAGGTCTCCTCACACACTGCTGGTGTGTTGAATTTTTGGACATAGGGTGCTGGCAGATTTCGGGCCTCCTATAGCTGCTGCCAGGCCCCTAATCTGCCATGGCCCCTATACCGCCTCCTCATGCTGCTGCCAGGTCCAGAGTCTCTCATGGGTCCCTGTACGGCCCTCCCATTGCTGCTGTCTCCATCGCCACACTCTGCCATTGGTGCCACTTTCAGGTCTCCTCACACACTGCTGGTGTGTTGAATTTTTTGACATAGGGTGCTGGCAGATTACGGGCCTCCCATAGCTGCTGCCAGGCCCCTAATCTGCCATGGGCCCCTAATACCGCCTCCTCATGCTGCTGCTGCAGAGTCCACAGTCTCTCATGCCATGTGCCACTTTCAGTCTCCTCACACTGCTGGTGTGTTGTTTTTTTGACATAGGGTGCTGGCAGATTACGGGCCTCCCATAGCTGCTGCCAGGCCCCTAATCTGCCATGGGCCCCTATACCGCCTCCTCATGCTGCTGCCAAGTCCAGAGTCTGTCATGGGTCCCTGTACGGCCTCCCATTGCTGCTGTCTCCATCGCCACACTCTGCCATGTGCCACTTTCAGGTCTCCTCACACACTGCTGGTGTGTTGAATTTTTTGACATAGGGTGCTGGCAGATTACGGGACTCCCATAGCTGCTGCCAGGCCCCTAATCTGCCATGGGCCCCTATATACCGCCTCCTCATGCTGCTGCCAGGTCCCAAGTCTCTCATGGGTCCCCCTGTACGGCCTCCCATTGCTGCTGTCTCCATCGCCACACTCTGCCATGTGCCACTTTCAGGTCTCCTCACACACTGCTGGTGTGTTGAATTTTTGGACATAGGGTGCTGCATTTTACGGGCCTCCCATAGCTGCTGCCAGGCCCCTAATCTGCCATGGGCCCCTATACCGCCTCCTCATGCTGCTGCCAGGTCCACAGTCTCTCATGCCATGTGCCACTTTCAGGTCTCCTCACACTGCTGGTGTGTTGAATTTTTTGACATAGGGTGCTGGCAGATTACGGGCCTCCCATAGCTGCTGCCAGGCCCCTAATCTGCCATGGGCCCCTATACCGCCTCCTCATGCTGCTGCCAAGTCCAGAGTCTGTCATGGGTCCCTGTACGGCCTCCCATTGCTGCTGTCTCCATCGCCACACTCTGCCATGTGCCACTTTCAGGTCTCCTCACACACTGCTGGTGTGTTGAATTTTTTGACATAGGGTGCTGGCAGATTACGGGCCTCCCATAGCTGCTGCCAGGCCCCTAATCTGCCATGGACCCCTATATACCGCCTCCTCATGCTGCTGCCCAGGTCCAGAGTCTCTCATGGGCCCTGTACGGCCTCCCATTGCTGCTGTCTCCATCGCCACACTCTGCCATGTGCCACTTTCAGGTCTCCTCACACACTGCTGGTGTGTTAAATTTTTGTACATAGGGTGCTGGCAGATTATGGGCCTCCCATAGCTGCTGCCAGGCCCCTAATCTGCCATGGGCCCCTATATACCGCCTCCTCATGCTGCTGCCAGGTCCAGAGTCTCTCATGGGTCCCTGTACGGCCTCCCATTGCTGCTGTCTCCATCGCCACACTCTGCCATGTGCCACTTTCAGGTCTCCTCACACACTGCTGGTGTGTTGAATTTTTTGACATAGGGTGCTGGCAGATTACGGGCCTCCCATAGCTGCTGCCAGGCCCCTAATCTGCCATGGGCCCCTATACCGCCTCCTCATGCTGCTGCCAAGTCCAGAGTCTGTCATGGGTCCCTGTACGGCCTCCCATTGCTGCTGTCTCCATCGCCACACTCTGCCATGCCACTTTCAGGTCTCCTCACACACTGCTGGTGTGTTGATTTTTTGACATAGGGTGCTGGCAGATTACAGGCCTCCCATTGCTGCTGCCAGGCCTGTAATCTGCCATGGGCCCCCGTACCGCCTGGTCACGCTGCTGCTGGGTCCACAGTGTGACATGGGTCCCTGTACCGCCTCCCATTGCTCCCACTCTGCCATGTGCCACTTTCAGGTCTCCTCACACTCCTGCTGGTTTCCATTTTGTCATAGGTTGCTGGCAGATTACAGGCCTCCCATAGGTGCTGCCAGGCCCCAAATCTGCCATGGGCCCCCATACCGCCTCGTCACGCTGCTGCTGGGTCCACAGTGTGACATGGGTCCCTGTACCGCCTCCCATTGCTCCCACTCTGCCATGTGCCACTTTGAGGTCTCCTCACACTCCTGCTGGTTTCCATTTTGTCATAGGTTGCTGTATGGCCTCCCATTGCTGCTGCCTCCACCGCCACACTGTGGCTCCAAACACTGGTTTTGGCCCCGTGACTGGCCAAATGAGTGAAGTGTGCGGTGATTCTAAGATCGACGGCACTCATCTGCATGTCATACTGACTGACAGTATTATTTCTCTTCCCCAAGAGCAGACTCCAAGGGCATTTAAATTAAAGGTACAGTGTTCTGCACTAATATTAAGTCTCTCTGAAGCCTAGAAACACCCTTTTTTAAGTTAAATTCACAGCGAATATATTCGACTCGAATCGAATATTGTCCACGAATTCGCCGAATCAGTCGAATCGAATTTTTGAATACTTCGCTCATCTCTAATAATAATAATAAATTGAATTCAATAATATAATCAAACCAAAAACACTGAAATTTGAAATACAGAGGCAAATTCGCACATCGCTGAGCAAAGTCGCAAAATCGTTTTCAGTGTCTGATGACGAATTTCCCCACAAATCATTATCACTCAATTCTGCAAGTGGTTCTGATTTACTATCGCTGTTCTAAAACTGCTTTTTGACGTAAAGGGACGCTTTTCGGACGCCATGGACTTTTCTAAATTTCCAGGCAGAAAGAACAGTCAAAATGCAGGCAGGCACAGGACAAAGCAGTGGGGACAAAATATATGTGAAATGCATTGAAACAGCAATGACAGCAAAAATTACATTTTTAAAAAATTTCAAATTTCCCGCCGGTTCCGGCGCCCGTACGTCCCGACGTCACAGGGACCGGAACACGGAAGCCGGATGCCGGCATCGGCCAGAGAAGATGGCCGGGGACGCTGTAGGGGACACATCGTGGGAGCGAAGGACAAGGTAAGTGCTGCAGGGACCCCCTGAGCAACGCAGCATGGTAAGCCCGAGTGTAGCTCGGGGTTACCACTCTTGGTACTCAAATTTTACCCCGAGCTACACTCGGGAAAACCGCTAAGGAGGTTAAACATGCTTTAATTTTTTTTTATATTAGAGCATGTTTAATAACAATTGCAGATAACATGAAAATGTGTTAAATGTTATCAGAACTTTTTAAACAAAGTAATGTAAGATAGATTTACTATTTGCTTTAGTAAACCAATAGAGTATGGCAGCTCACTGAACAACAAGGTTAATTAGCTATCATCTCATGCTTTATACAGATATGGGGGCTTACACATACAGTATGCTGACATATTGAAAAATGTACATAAGTCTTGAGTTAGGATTGCATGCATTGCAATTGATAGCCAGGTTGTGCAAAGTTATATATATAATGCAAAATAAAAAGAAGTCTTAAAATAAGCTTACAAACCTGAAGTCATATAAATATGCTGCATAATTATATATGCAATATACTGTGTACCTACCTTCTGAAACCTGGCTGGAATACTCCCAGCACGTTGTTAAGTGATTTTTTGGTTATTACTGCTCTCCTCCATCACAGGAGTGAGCTCTCAAATGCTGAACTCAGAGCTACTGCATCAGGGGGAAGAGAGAGCATGCAAGGGGGTTTGGATCAGAGAAAAAGCTCACTTCTGCGATGGTGGAAGTGAGCAGTAATGACTAGGCCTCACTTGGCAACATCCTAGCAACGTTCTGGGAGTATCCAGGCTTTTGTAGGTATGTAATTGGTCTACACCTATAGCAAGAGCATTATTCAACTTTAGTCAGAGCTGCAAAGTTTGTTTTTATCTGCCGACATCCCTTACCTGCATAGGCATTTTTTTGATAAAGGTGAACTAACCATTTAAGTGCACAAGGCTATAGTTAGAGGAAACTGTAAATAACTAAAATCTCATATAAGCGTTAACTTTTTAATGTTATTTCCAAAGTATTTTTCAATATTTCTCAACCTGCAGCTTTCATTGAAATAATACCTGTTGATCCTGCCTTGACATATTTAACATGTTCCCCCCTACTTGTGCTCCTGGGCATTGTGGGGTTTAAATACTGAGCATGTGCACTAACTAAAAAAAAGTTGATGCTGTGATCCTGGGGCATGGCCTGAGACAGAGCATTGGCAAAGCAGTGGGCCATGATGCAGAATTTTCCCAGCAAATCCAGGACAGTTGCTATCTTTGGCTTGAAGGTCCTTGTTCAGGTACCTGTTTTTAGGGTGGCGACAGTCTGAACAGTCTGCCCATGTGTCAAAATTGTGCCATCAGGAAACCTTCCCTAAAAAATGCATTGCATACAAGGCTAGAGTGCATGCGTTAAGACAGATAAGGCTGAAAGAGATTAGCAGCATTTAGATGCAACAAAGAATGAAAAAGAAGGTGAAAACAAGTATTATTTAAAATAATTGCAATTGTTTACTATGCTTTTAATAAAAAGCCACCCAGTTAGGGTAAAAATCTACTTTAATTTGGTAAAAACTTTGAGATGGAGGCTCTTATCGTAAAGACTTTTTAATTTGTCAAATAGTGTACAGATTTTTTTGTATATGCCTTTAGGCTTGTCACATGCATATTTCACTGCTTTGCTATCTGATCACTTGTTTAGATTGTATTTATTTTATTTTTTTTATTTTGCCCTGTGCATACAGGGTACACGTTAGGGAATCAAGAGATATAACAGCAACATTATTAGGATTTTCATATGGTAAATTAGGGCTGAGCCCACCATATGCATTAAACATCCAGGTGTAATTAGCTGAAGAGGTTCAAGACTCATGAACTTGCACATGTTCAAAGTTCGCTCACATATGCAGGTATACAATTAATTTATTTAGTAGTTGAGCCTCACTGAATCATATGGTAAAAGGGGATCCTGAAAATAAAACTTTATTTTTTTGTACTGCTGAACATCTGGAAGGTGTGGCTCGCTCCTTGGCTGCTTCCCTTCAGGTCGTATCACCCACTAACATTCTGCAGATGTCTTAGGAATCGCATGGGAGTGCTTGTGCAAAAATACATTTTATCAAAGGCTTATATTTACAACATATTACCATGAATGTAAACCTCCAAAAATGAGTCACCACTGACTGCATACCATGTCACAAACATATGTAAAAAATGACAATCATTTATGTAAAAATACACATAGTTGGAAAACAACCTTTCAGTCAAATCCATCTACCAGACATTCTATGGGCCAGCTCTCTGGGCACCATGTTTGTTACTATTGAATGCCTTTTTCTTACAGTAAGGTAGGTTTCCAGCTCCAGAGATGAGCATGATGAAAAAATTTGTCTTGTTTCCTTTTGGATTCATTTGTCAAGTGATCATTTCATTACATCTTATTTGTTATGTTAGAATGATTTGTTTTTGCAATTTGTTTCATGTATTTGGGTTTGTTTTATATATTTGTTGTTTCAAATCTAATTGTATTTTCGAAAGTTATTTCAAAAGATTTGGATTCATTCCTTATGTTTCCAGTGTGACTTTGCATTGTGACATGCTTGCAACTTGCTTGAGACTTTGATGCGAATTGAATGCCTTGGACTTGCTTGTGATCTCCATGTAACTTGCTTGTGACTTTGATATTTTGCGACTTTGGCCAATCATAACAATATAGCATGTGACACATCTTACTGAACTTACAAAATGAATAAATTTGTTTTCATTATAATTTCTTTCTGATTCGTTGAAATTCATTACTATTGTGATTCAGAGATTCGGATACATCCAAATCTCCATATAATGAAAATTTAGTCTGAATTTCGATTCGCAACAAAATGAATTGCACATGTCTAACACGCATACTGAGGCCAATTTAGACAGGAGTCCACTGCTGATATCCCTCATAACATTTGCAAACTTATATATTCGCCAGCACACCATGGATCGCCAATAGGGTCCAAAAAGGTTTTTATTGCAAAAAAGATCACATCACAAAAAGTGCAATGTTTTGGAGCTGGACCCCTTTGTCAGCCATTGGGGACAATTGGATAGTTTTTTAGATATAGCTTTCACAATAAAAACATGACAAGGCTATTGCAATGACTGACTGCATTGTTAGTTCTTTGCTCATCCTATGGTTTCACATCTAACGTATTTAGTGATTGTGGCTGACTCCCCTAGGCAAAAGTATCAGTAGCAGATTATTATTGTGGTGGTGATGATGATGACGATAATATCCTGTGGGTTTTTACCAGGGATTGGGATGGACGACAAGGAGTATTGGCTTGGTATTGCTAGCTACTGTACTTTTCTCAATATGATCTAAACATGTTTCAACTCCTGAGAGCCAAATTTCTTAAATGAGTTCCTGAATGCAAGAATAAGTGTCTGCCTATATACATTTTTCACAAAGGATTTATTAGGTTTCTTAAGTTTTCCAGAACAGCACAAGAAAAAGAAAATACAGGAAGGCACAAGAAAGCTAGGAAGTACAGAGGTGCAATCTGCAAAAGGATCCACCATAATACCAGAACTCAGTACACTTACATATTTCATTATCATGGAGCATAAGGAGGCAAGAAACTCCAAAGCTTAATTAAGGGGAGTAGAAAAAAGATGGTTCCAATGAGGAGAGTTCCATGCTAGCTTTTGTAAGCACTTCTACAATGTTGGAGGGAGGGGGCATCAAGTATTCCATCAAAGAGTGCTAGAACAGGAAGAAGAAGCAGGAAGAGACAGATTGAGCCAAGGAGGGAAGTCAAAAGAGAGCCAAAAGGAAGAAGGGGAATCGAGATGTTTGCCTGGGATGAGCAAAATGAGAGGGGGGGTGATAGGGGAAGCCCACGTGGGCCAGCGACTGTCATATAGGGGGACAATGACAAAGCACGTTAGACTGAGAGCAAAATTTGGTCAATATTCATATGAGCATTATAGGATATCCAGGGATCCCAGACCTCTAAAGAATTTGGCATAGGAATCTTCAAGGATGGAAGTGAGCTCCTCATGGACTATGGTCCCTATTAGCTTTTGCTGAACCTCAGTAAAGTTGTGGTATGGCTGTCTTCAGGCTCTAGCTAGCATCTGCCAAGCTGCCAGAAATAAACCCCACCAGTATCCTCTGGTTAGCAGTTAAAGTTGGGATTGGTCTATGCAGTATGGCCTCCCCAGGCTTGTGGGCTAATGAGATATTCAAGGCTGACCTGATCATAGAATATACCCTTGTCCAAAATGGAATTGCTTTAGTGCATGACCCTTTGGTGAATGAGTGCCACATTCCCTACAGCCCTAAAAGCACATTGGGGAGACAGCAGGGGTGAACTTTGAGATGCGGTCAGGGGTCATATACCACCACAACAGCATTTTGTAGGCATT